AGTAATTTATGCGACATAGTATAACTATCATTATTTTCAATAAAGTATGGACGCATTTTAATTAATTGAAGAATATGATAATAACCCTATTGTGAAATAGATTTATTTTCTAAGCAATATTTACAAATATCATTATTCTTATTGGAGTTTACTTTTTCTTAATAAATTTTTAAGGTCTAATGCTGTTAATATATATTGATGCAGTTGTCTTCAATTGGATCGAGTCACGACGAAATTGACTTTGAGTTTCTTGGTAACCTAAGCGGGGATCCTTATATTCTTCATACTAATGTGTTCACAGAAGGAAAGGGTAACAGAGAGGAACAGTTTTATCTCTGGTTCGATCCCACCAAGGACTTCCACACCTACTCTGTTCTGTGGAACCCTATAAGCATCATGTAAATCTCTTCATTTCCCCATCTCTCTTCTCTCTTCAGTCTTTTCTCTCTCATAGAGACAGAGGCATGCATGCATCATTTTGTGCATGTACTTGCTATACATAATGAAAAAAATTTACGTTATTTTTACCGGCCTTTTTTTAATGGTAAATTTGGTAAATAGTATTGGATAAAATTATATGTTAATATTGTCCAAATACTCAGGTGCCCACCTTACCAAACAAGCAGAAAAATGTTGCAAGTAGATATCTTAATCTGAATTCATTCATTGAATGGGCTTTTACCTTATTTTATATATCCGCATACCAGATTTTCTGTAGATGGAACTCCCATTAGGCAATTCAAGAATTTGGAATCTAAAGGGGTCCCCTATCCAAAGAGCCAACCAATGTGGATTTTCTCAAGCCTATGGGATGCTGATGATTGGGCCACAAGAGGGGGACTCGTAAAAACTGATTGGAGTCAAGCACCTTTTACAGCTTCTTACAAAAATTTTAATGCTCAGGCTTGCACAATCTCTCAAGGTTCTTCTTCTGATGCATGCTCCAAAAATTCTTCTGGACATTCCTGGTTAACAGAATCATTGGACAGCAGTGGCCAAGAAAGAATTAAGTGGGTACAGAAGAATTACATGATATACAGTTATTGTACTGATAACAAGCGTTTTCCTCAAGGATTTCCTCCAGAGTGCACAATCCCATGAACCAAAAATGGAGACCCCACTTCATAATTTGGTCATCTTTTTCCTAGTTTCTTGGGTGTTTTTCCCTTTATCATGCAATACTATACAACGTATGTACACAGTACACTTTGTTCATTTTTTGTGTTATTTTTAGTAATGAAAATTTTATGGTAAGAAATTGTAACAATACAAAAGTTTTGTGTTTTATATGTCAGCT